TATGGATATAGAAGTTTATCCACTAGTGGGCGAGCAGTTCAAACAAGTCCCTGATTTAAGTACCTATTTGCTAAATTCATCATATCAAGGTTAAGTATTTAGAAGACTTTGGTGAACATTCCCTAAAATGTCTTTAAGATAAATTAGGATTAACCTTTATAGTAAATTCATGTAAAGACAGCACTCTAAAAATTCTGTATCAAATTAAGAATTCTGAATATGTACCTGAACAGCTTACAAAATCACCACCTCTGCAGTTTGAAAAGTCTGAAGAGGTTATATTCACGAGTATATTACATTAAGTTTACCAAATACTCTTATGAAGTTTTAAGTTTAATAAATCCACTATAACTATCCAAACCTGTTAAAAACTGAAAAATAAAATCAAAGGATAAGGAATATTCACTTTTCTGGTTAAGCATCATTAACATGGGGCACTTGGGCTTTCAGATCACGACTTACAGACACTGACAGATTAAAACCAATAGTTTACAAGCAACTTTTAACTTTTCTGTATACAGCAAATTCAAAGAATAGTAAAAACATGCTTTTAAATAAGAAAAGTTCCGTAGACAAGTCCAGCTGTTGAATTCTGTACCATGCCCAAATGTGTCAACTCAGAAAAATGAGTACTATCGAAATTACTCAATCCAACTTAAATGTGAGGCTTGAAAATTTATGATTAGAACAATTATTATAACTGTCAGATCTATATCATCTTTACATTGGTGGTATTTTACTTCTGAGACAGGTAAGAAAGATTTCATTTTGGAAGCAATACTGAAAGGCAGATAACATCTTCTCTCAAACTTTAAAACTTGGAATATAAAAGTTGATTAGAACTTTGTGAACTATGAGAATTTCTTGCATAATTAAAAAATGCCTTTCTTACAGTATCTAAAGAAAAAAAAAAGCAATTGTCTAGAGGATTTTGCCAAACAAGTGTAGGAAGTTTTGTAACCGGTTAGCTTCTCTAATAAACCCCATATTCTGATGGTTGTTTGTGAATTGTGACAGTTCCAACAAATTATCAAACCCAGCAGAGCGCCATAGGAAAGATGGCTGGTGTCAACATAAGGCAAAAAAAGCACAGGAGATGGAAGTACCGGTTTGGTGGCAATCGGCCTTCGGCTGGTGTGGAGTTAGATTTTCCACCTCTGTAAAGCCAAAGGTCAGACAAGGCCCCCATACCATTTCCTCAGCAGTACTGAACATACACACCCCACACAAATTGAGTACCAGAGTCAACGAATTCGGAGCTAAAAGGAACCCCAACACATCTCAATGACACTGAACAATAATGAGATGACTAGGGTAGCATTGCTGGCTACGTAGTGGACTGCTACCAGCTAGGTCAGTGATTCAAAGATACCAGCTGCTCTGTTAGAAAAGTGGCTACTTGCTCTTATCAAGCAAACCCTATAGAAGCTCACAATTAACTCAGTGGCAATGGGCTTGATTTTTATGGTGACATAGTCAGTTAGTAGCATAAGCACTAATTGAAGTCTACAAACTGTATCAAGAATAATTTCTGAGACCTGTCTTCAAGACTTATAGGACTTTTAATGCCAAAGACTTGGGATAGTTTGGCAATGACCTGTAGAGCATGCCAAACTGTTAATAACTAGCAGACTAAATAATACTCCATTCTCTGTAGTGCTTATCAACCCACCTTAAAGAATGTAAGTCTCAGTAATTTGATCTTACAAATTTATTCTGCAACTCAACAAATGACCATAGGGCAAGCTACACCACCAGAGGTCTACAACTATAGTCTGCTTGGAAAATTCTCACTAACATTTATGTAACTATACACAGGTATAGTTTTCTACTTTTGATTCAAGTCAGAATTACTGATAAACCAAAACACCATCCCATCACTGAGTCAGTTCTGACTCATAATGACACTCCCATCTACTTAAGGTTTCTGAGGCTGTACATCATTATAGGAACAGAGAGCTTCAGTTTTGTCATGTGGAGTGGATGGTGGGTTTGAACCACTGACCTTATAGCTAGCAGTTTAATACTTACTCAACTGGGATCCTAAATTACTGAGTGTCTGAAAAATATTTCATATAGCTTTAATGATTGCATGTTAGTATTCTTGATGGGGCTATGTGATATGTGACATCAACTCAATTAACAGCCTATTTCCTTATGAGTAAAGATGCTCCCAATAGTAAACAATTGTATGAAAACATTTTGAAAAGCAAAGTTCATAGTACCATTCTAAAATAGGAGACGCTCAAACTCAAGGAGCAATTAAGAGAAATGGGAATTTCCTGAAACACTACATCTTTTATGTGTACAACTATTTAAAAATCACTACATTCCAAGAGTAAAAGCAACTATATACTGAGCTACATGGTATCAACCTTAGGGGGCAGTGAGTTTACATTAGTGAGAGTGGAATAATTCAGAAGAGGAAAGAATTATCACACAATTCAAATAATGTAACCAATGTCCGTGAACTATATATGTAGCAATTGAATCCCCATGTTCTGCTGCATATATTCTCAACAGCAAAGAAAATAAAGTTGTGTCAACTTGAACTCATTGAACCCCAAGTCTCGGAATAAAACCATGTTCAATACGGTTTTCATTAGCTCGTTGATCTGAAGTAGACTGCCAGGCCTTTTGTCTGGAGCGCCTCGGGTAGACTCTCAGCGAGCTGCTAAGTATCTGCACCAAGGGATTTGTTAGTGGTGAAGCCTTACCAACAGGTTTTCTTTGTATTACACTAAACCCTCACTGCAATAAATATCCAAGGTCTCAGGATACTTTCTGGTAAAAGAAATAAGCACTACTCCACTATACTAAATAAGCAGTATATCACAACCCCCCCTAATCTTTGTGAAAGCTTTTGTTATTACTATATGACATACTATAAAATTACAAATACAATAAACTTTGCCACTCAACCCTTAATAGACTTACCTGTAGTCTTAAAATACCCAGTTCCAACCAATAATTCAATGGGAACGGGGAAGGCAACAGTTACATATTTTTAGAGCTCTATAGGCGATCCTGATGCTCACTCCTGTTGAAAAACATCTTTGCCCTAAAACCAACAGACTCATTATTCCTTAATGAGCTATTTATAATGATACAAATGATTTTAACTTTAGGAGATGAAAAAAACATAGACCTTTACCACCCTCAGTTCCACTTACACAGTTTTCTTAATCTCTTTCTGGGACACTAAACTATCTCTCTGGACCTGGCTTTAACAACTCTTTAACTATTTTTCCAGAAGATATGTAATAAATCTTTTTTTTAGATCTTAATAGATCTGCTTCATTTCATTATGGTAAGATATATTAGGCCTGTAATGTTTTATACTTACCACCATCACTTGCAAAGCTGGTGCTTTTTGATATAAAATATTATGCGAACCTTTTCCATGGCTGTACTCATTGATAAATGACACAGACACATACTGCCTTTACTTCAAAATGAAACAATATCACTCATCTTGTAACCTGTTCCTAGAAATATGACATGTACGAATGTTCTTCACAAAACTGTTTTTGAAGTCATCACCTGCATATACTTGAGACACAGACACTTTAATTTTCACAACCTTGTCCAGTCTTCTTCTTCTTCTTCTTTTTTTTGATAGAAGGATCAGGAACTATTTATTAGTGCAACATTATTAACTCCTAACGGGGGTTGAAGAGTATTCCTTCAATGAATAAAAGTAACTGATTAATAATTTTGCTTTCAGAATAATGTGCAAAAGAGAGTGGAGACAGAAGGCACAGAGGAAGCATTTTTAACCCTTCAGACAGGAGGGGAAAATTCTCATCTTTCCACGAGATAGACTCTGAAAAAGAACAAATACACATTAGTAACATAACTGGAAAATATAGTTTGACAACGGTCAAAACAGTTTAAAGCTCTGTACTTTGGTTATCAAATAAACCCGAAAATCACATTCTTTATGGCAATCACAAACATGAAATTGAGTTTGATAAGCCACAAACTCAACACGGAATATAGTTTAAAGTAAAATGGAGATGCATCCTTCAGGTCTCGACTCCAGGTTTATCCAGAAACGATCGCTATCAAGAATATCCTTTCTACACGGCCCTGCTAGAGCAGGTAGGTTGGAAAACCCCGTTTTAATTCTTTAGATGTCTCCTTGTCTCTTATTTGCTGGGCGAATGCTTAGTCCCTTTCCCAGCACGGCTACTATCGTCCAACTCGATTTCTTTGGATCCATTTGCAAAGCATTCTTGTACGAAATTAAAACAGAGTGGGTTCAAAACCTTGAGGAGAGGGAGAAAAAAATGACATGAATGTAGAACGTGCGATCTCAATCCCGTGGTAGGATGGCTGGCTTCTCGGACGGAAGTCGCTGCCCCGGGAGTCCTCCCATTCCAACAAAGATACTAACCGCCCCGAGGTCGAAAAGATGCTCTAATTCCAGAAGTAACCGCTGGATACAAAACCGAGAAAGAGCGTCAGGGCTGTAAGCAATCGCACCCGGCTGTGAGGCCCAGGCCATTTTTAGCCCGGAGGCCGAGACGCCGTATTCGCACCCGCCGCACACCAACCTCCAGACCGGCCGCCACCCCGCTTCCTAAGTTCACAGGTGCGTACCCGAAGCTCTCCCATCGGCTGGTCCTCCACCTCACCGTCCCCCGTACGATCATCCGGCTCCCGCGCTGCCTAACACCTCGGCCTCGCTCCGCCGAACCCTACCAACACTCCTAATATGGCGGCTGGGTCCCTTTCGCTGCCTCAGGGCGCGTCCAATCTCGGCGCATTTTGGGCATTGTAGTTCCGGCGGTAACATCTGCGTCCCGCCAGGCCCGAAGAAGACTACACTTCCCAGAATGCACCTCTCCCGAGCATGGCTATTGGGGCCCTTTGCATAGAGAGATGATGTCATTGCAAAAACCCCACTGCATTCATTGTGCTAAGATCTATCCGCCCCCCCACCCCCTCACCCCCCCTGGCTGCCGCTGCTCCCGCTGCTGCTGCTGCTGCTGCTGGGCTCGCGACTACCGCTCGCTCCAGCTGAGCTAAGAGGAGCGGCAGCATCAGGGCAGGACCTGGCTCCAGCCCTTGGACTTACGGACGCCCAGCACCTTCCCTGGCGTGGGTGACCCGTTCGCACATCACTTCTGTGTATGCCTGGGGTGGGGAGACAAATCCCAAACCAGGTGAGTTGAAGTGGTTGATTCCAGAGGTTCTGCCAAGTTATTACTCCCGCTTAGTTCTCTAGGCTTTGGGGAAGGTGGGGACGGGCGGGCTTGGGGCGGTGATGCTCCGCTCGTCGGCGTTGCTGAGGGGGGAGCCGTGCAATTTGGGTCACTGCAAAGAACAACTCCAGCCACCTTCCCCCGCCGCGGACGCGTGCCAGCCCATTCCCTACTCGCAACTCCCCTCAACCTTTTGCAGGCTGCAAGAGGGGGCTGGGCTTGGCTGGCTGTCGGGACGTGGTCGTGGAAAAGCAGAAGACGACTGAGGGGGGCTGGATGGAAGGGGGGCTGCAGTCCCGTCTGACGGTCCGAGCGCTGAGGTTGGAGTGGGAAGGGGTGATGCGTGGGGAGAAATGGAGACAGTGATTTAATGTGGGCGCATGCTACTTTAGGGCATTTCGAGGGCGTCCACTGTTTTAGAGATGAACGTGCTCATCTGAGTAGGTTAAGTTTTGTGGGTCTTTATTTTATGAGTGTAGGTCCATGTCGTTGGTCTCTCTGCTGCTGATTTGAGGTGACAGTGTCCTTTAATGGTGCACTCCGCACCAGTTGGGAACATTTCACGTGTCTGGGGAACGTTCTTGCAGGCTGCTGGAAGCAGCGTTTTTGTTAAGGGTTTTCCCTTCTGACTGCAGGATTTCAGTATTGTTAGGAAGTGAAACCGACAGATTTGGGCTAGTGCGAGTGTTTTAAATCACATTGCAATAGGCGTCTTGCCACTGACAATGGTACCGTAATGAGCGGCTGTTTCCTGAGGCACCGTCCCCATCATACCAAAGTAACGGTTTGGAAAAGGATGGATGAAGGAAACTCGGATTCATTTGAACAGGTTAGAGATTAAGAAAGTTAGAAGCTCCTGTCACCTTAGTCTGCCAGTACGGGAAGGTACTTATGGAAGAGTGGCCCTAGCCAGGGAAACCAAAGAGCATAGCTGGAGGGTTTTTGGGTTTGTTTGTTTTGTTTTGTCTTTTAAACAAGCTGACACATTTAACGGGACAGAAGGCATTCTTAATTGTATGATGTTTGCTGTCCTCTTTAAGAGTCATGGGGATGATTATTGCAACAAATATGTTACTTGGAGATAAACGGCTGGCTGGCTTCAGAACAGATGGGGCCAGTCTTAGCTGAGAGAGCTACAACCTTGAAAATGAATGGACTTGGGGTCAATCACACCCGTTCTTGGAATGTCAAAACAAGGAGAAATGCCAGAGTATTTTATGCTGAGCTCTAAAATGCTAACGCCTCATCAGGCATCAGGGGAGAGTCATTGTGAACTGCTTTGTTAGTGAACCAATTTTGCTCATTTTTGTGTCATTACATGTTTCTTGCTATAGGATGCAAGGGGGGTGTGTGTGCGGGGGGAGGGGGGGGGAAGGTTTGCGGAGGCAGTCTGCTCCTGAAAAGGTTTACAGCCTTGGAAACCCCCGAGAGGCTTTCTTACTTTGTTCTGTAGGGTCTCTGTGAGTTGGAATTCGACTCGATGGCAATGGATTTGGTGTGAGAGAATGCTAAGGACCGTCCACCATGTGGACTATGTGGTAGCAGAATTACAGGGGTGGAGTGAGCAGCTTTCAGGTTTAGGGAAGGATTGACCTTTACTTCTCATGTTTCTCCTCTGCTCTGCCTTCTCCATCTGGCCTCTTTCCCCACACCTTTATGCCTCTGGAAGTTTCTTCATTTGTCTCTACTTTTGCAATCCTCATTTTCCCTCTAGATTGCATCTCCCCTTCATCACCGCGATGTCATCTCTTTCTCTGAGTCTCTTAACAATTTCTGAAACACTCCCCACCCCATCCGGCGACTCAGGGTGGGTCTAGAGTAGACTGTGACGATTTATACTATGGAATCCCCTCTGAAGAAGCGTTGCCTTTTCCTTTTCTTGCTCTTGATGCTTCGTGGGATAAGTGACACCTGCTCTTGTCACCCCTTGTGACAAACCTAATTTGGCTCCAGCAGCATGTGGACAATAGAATATTGCACTTAAAGCCATGCTACTTTTTCTCCTTCTCACTAGCATCTGTATTAAAGCTGCTTATAGGCAAAGGTCAGGTGCCCTGGTGGCATAGTGGAGCTCTGGTGGTGTAGCAATTATGCATTAGGCTGCTAACTGCAAGGTTTCACAGTTCAAAATCACCAGCCTCTCTCTGGGGGAAAAAGATGGGGCTTTCTACTTCCGTAAAGAGTTGCCATGGCGGAGACGCATGGGGGCAGTTCTACCCTGCCCTATAGGATTGATATGAGTTGCCATCTACTGGATGGCAGTGAGTTTGAGATTTTTGAGATAGGTTGTCAGGCTTTTAAAATGCTTTTACAGAGATAGTGTCCATACTTTCCAGAGAGTGATTCAGTGTCAGTGTATTCGGAACCATAGTGACTCTATGTAGGGTTTTAGGGCTGTACATCTCATTTTTCTCCCTTGGACCAGCTGGTGGGTTTGAACTGCTGACTTTGTTATTAGCAGTCCAACACTTGCCTGATAGTGCCATCAAGACTCTTCTCCCAAAGGATGAAATTCTCATTATTGTCAAGTTGATAGTGGCTGTACAGGACAGGTACAACTGCCGCCATGGGTTTCTGAGACTAACTCTTCACGGAGGAAAAGCCCTATCTCTCTGTCTTGGAGAGGGGCCGGTGGTTTCAAACTGCTGACCTTGCAGTTAGCAGCTCTTTCACTAGGGCTTTTCACAAAGAATAACCCGACTTTTAGTGGCTTCTGCCTCATTGAATTGTTTGTTTCTTAAATCTGAGTTCTAGTGACTGATCGAAGGCTCTTTTCTTTCACTCCCTGTTACCTGTTGATTGCTGAAGAGAGATCCAAGGGTCCAGACTGCTTGTTTGATTTTTGAAGATACTTGAAGGAACAGTTTTGTTCTTCTGATGGTTGGTCTGTTTTGTCGTGGCAAGCATGTTGCCGTGTGATAGCCCTGGCTGAGGAGAAGGTGTGCTGGTGCCGGTCACGTCTGCTTGTTCCACAGCAGTGCTCCTCTCGGGATGGGAAGTCTAAGTGCTCTTCATCCGAGGCAACTGGCATGACAGCAGATTCAGACACTGGCCCCCTAGACCTCTTTCTCACCACCTTCTTATTTCTACTTTGCTTCTTTTGAAATGTTTCCTCACCCACTCAAGCTTTTTAAGATTTTAGGAGCTGAATAGAGGGCTACATTTGCCCAGTCATTCTTGTCTCAGCAATAACTGTAAGTCTTTCTGTCTCTCTTTACATTTTTGCAAAGGTGTCATGATTCTTGTCCCTTGAATTACTTGGTCTGATGTTCTAGCCTCTATCATTTGGCCCCAAGCTATCTTTCTCACAGCAAATATTAATTGAACAACGGTGCAAGCAGAGAATGTACTAGCCAGCTAATTGAAAGATTGGAGGGTTGAGACTGCCTAGAGCTGCCGTGGAAGACAAGCCTGGTGATCTATTTCTGGAAAACCAGCCATTGAAAACTCAATGGAGCACATGTCTTTTGCAACATACATGGGGTTGCCACGAGTCAGAATTAACTATACAGCACATGTGTTAACCACTGTGGAGACATCAGTGAAGAGACATTTCTCAGACCCCCCGGAAGCTTATATTCTAGTCGGAAAGACAACCATTGAACAGTTGATTGATTACAAGTGTGATGAAGGCTACTTACAAAAGACGTGTTCTACGAGGTGGATTGGGAGTACAGAACTTGGGTCTCTCCCTTAGTTTGGAGGAATCCAGGAATATTCCTGTGGGGAGTGACATTTCAGCTGAGACTTGAAGAGTGAGTGGGAGCAATTTCGTTTGCAATGGGAGGTGTGTAAACAAGGAGGAGAAGGGTTTCAGGCCGAGGGAACTACATGTTCACAAGTACAAAGGCATGCAAGTATGAGGATTTACAGAGGCCAGCCGGTCTAGTTGACCCTTTGATATCGAGGAAGTTAGTGGCGTCCACCTCCCTAGAAGTTGAAAATCCATGTATAATTTACGTGTTTGATTCTTCCATGTATAGTTTATAGGTTGACTCTTGATCAATGTGGGTTTGAACTGTGCACTTACTTACAGGTGGATTTTTCTTTTCCTCTCACTATTACGGTAAGTTCAAATGTAGGAGTATCTAGTTAAAGTGTTGTGTGCTGCTAATCTCCCTATGAGCAGTTCATCTCTCCAGGTTAGCAGGCATGGAGGGATAAGGGGTATGTTAGACTGGGTAGACTAGAGAAACAAATTCAGGGAGACTCATATGTGTATAAGAAAGAGCTTTATATCATAATGTGTTAGTCCGGGTAGCTTAGAGGAACAAATTCAGGGAGACTCGTGTATGTATAAGAAAGAGTTTTATATACAAAAGCAATTGAATATTGAGAAAACATCCCAGCCCGGTCCAGATCAAGTCTGTTAGTCCAATATTAGCCCATATGTCCAATACCAATCTATAAAGTCTTCTTCAGGCTCATGAAACACAAGCAATGTCGCTGAATGCAGGACGATCATAGGCCAGTGGTGGGAAGTCTTGTGGATCCAGTGGCATTGTAAGCATCTCAGCACTGGCAGGGGTCTCTTCATGGTTCCTCCAGCTTGACACTAGCTGCATCAGCGTAAGTCCATCAGGCTCCTTGTCTGTAATGTCTTGCAGGGAGTGAGTGAGCCCCCCACCTCAAGCGAGCTATTTATCTCCTTAGCGCCTCCAAACGAGGTCACCAAGCTTGCACCTGATTGACAGGCTAACCTTCACTCCTTCACTCTTAATCCTCTCAAATTGACAACATTATGTAACTACCACAAGGGCCCAGCACTTACAAGGGGACTACTCAAGTGGAGATGGTTAGCGTCACACAGTTGTCACACATTTGTCACACATTTTAAGCATATACTCCCAACACTTGAGCCCATCACAACAGCAGCAGGAGAAAAATTCCATATATTATTGGACCCGTGCAGTCCAAATCCATGTTTTTAAGGGTCAACTGTATATGGGGCCCAGCAAGGG